TATATATATATATATATATATATATATATATATATATATATATATATATATATATATATATATATATATATATAAGCTGCAAAAACTAAATTAAAACAAATAAATGAATTGTATTTTTTCGCTTTATAATCACCTAATGCTTATTTGCCACCCGCTGCCATGCCTCCAACTGACTGTCGACATGGCAACGGAAACTATCATCATAAAATGGTACAGTAGTACAGATAGCTAGACCACGAGGGGGCGGGCTCTCCCGGAAAGATGTCCGCCGAGAGGTCCAGTGACTGGTCATGCGGCTCGCTGTCAGGAATAATGGTTGTACGGAGGGAGAGGGTGCCCGATGCCATTCTGGTAGTGATGATGCTGGCGGTGGGCGATGTATTCTGCGTAGCTCATGGTCATCTTTTCACTACGGTACCTAAAACAAAGGTGAAAAAAGGGGTAAGCAGCAGAACAGTGAAAGACGCTTGAAATAATGTGCACAACAGATCGGTGAATAACTAAAACTGAACAGATCGGTTAACTCCCCTTCATGTTTCAAACACATATCATCTCAGAAGACTTGTAATATAGCGTATGAGTTAGAAGAACTACTGGCGCGTTGTCATTTTTGGAGCACAACAGCATCGACCACTATAAAGTTCTGTTGAAGGGAAAATATCAATTCATATCGTGCTACATTTTCCATTTTGTGTTTTATAGAATAAGTCAAAGAAACTAAGAATTGTTATTGATTTATTTAGGGTCACACTTTAGTTTGGGGACCAATTCTCACTATTAACTAACTATTGGGGAAGTCGTGGCCTAATGGTTAGAGAGTCGGACTCGTAACCCTAAGGTTGCAGGTTCGAGTCTCGTACCGGCAGGGATTGTAGGTGGGGGGAGTGAATGTACAGCACTTTCTCCCACCTTCAATGCCAGGACTGAGGTGCCCTTGAGCAAGGCACCGACCCCCCAACTGCTCCCCGGGCGCCGCAGCAAAAATGGCTGCCCACTGCTCCGGGTGTGTGTTCACGGTGTGTGTGTGCACTTTGGATGGGTTAAAATGCAGAGCACTAACTCCAAGTATGGGTTACTTGGAGTTAGTGGGTTACCATACTTGGCCACATGTCACTCACTTTTTCACTCACTTTTTTTATTAACTCTGATGTTTGTGGCTTGTGCCATTGGACACCATTACTAAAAGATGAATCTACTAATAAATAGCATGCAAAATTGTTTTTTTTTAATTGTTCAGAAAAGGACATTTCTCTCACCTGGTCAGTTTAATAGTCTTCCTGAAGTCATTTGTGATAGGAGCTTTGTAACCTCCCTTTCGAAGTAAGGAATCTATGGTCTGAATGTGGTCCCATCCTATCAAGACAAAACAAATTCAATCACGTTCTTTCATACTGATTATTACTTTTTGGTCTGCTGTTACAATGTAATTCAAGACATCACAAACAGAAATCAGGCAAGTGTACTTTATACTCACCTTGCTCCTTCGCAACCTCTGGCAGGTAGGTGGCGGTGCGCTTTGATCCTTTTTCATTAAAAAATTCTATCCTAATTCCGTGAACACCCACCTAGGAAATAAAGACATCTTGAAAAACCATATATATTTTTTCCATACTTGACCTATGTGTAATTGACAAATACTGTTACTTTGGTGCTGAAAATGACATCAAAATTGTAAGAATAGGTTGTTGAAAGAGGAAAAATTTCATCTGTGCATCTGCAATCAGTTCCGCTCCCGCTCTCTTTAAAAGGGACAGGAAGAGACAGACATACTGACAAATGAAATATGAAACCAAATAAACAATTATACATCATAGATGCCTGCCTGTAGTCCAAATTCAAAATATTGGAGAGAGTGGTTTCTCCCGCCCCCTCCTCCTCAGAGTAGACACTCACATGGGTTGCCAGATTGAGGACTCGCAACAGGAAAAACCACATGTTTAGCTTTTCACTGTAAGTTGATTTATCCATGTTTTAATACACCTCTTGTCACAGAGATTTTTAGTTGGATGCCGTGACTTTTTAGGTTGGGTAGAATCTGCGATCTCTGACCCAGTTTGTTTTGTTGGCTTCCATGGCTGCAAAAAGCTGTTTTTACGCCAACTGGCAACCTGTGGTGTCAGAATACTATTGGGTGCATTGGCAGTGGGCAGAGTCACACAGATCAAAACAAAAACATTGTATGTCCTTCAAGTGGGTTTGTCAAATGCCATTAAAAGGAAAAGAAGCTGCTCAAATGGGCGTGATGCTGAAGAACTAATGAGGTCTGTTCTAGTACATTTACAATATTTGATAGGCTATTTTGCTACAAATGACTTGAAAGTCATTTATTTACTGTTTATTTTTATATGGCATCAGACTATAGACGTTGTCATAACGTTGCTATGGGCTGTGTCTTGCTTCAGACTGGCATTCTGACATGGCGAGCTTCATGCTTTCTATTTCTAACCTTATCTCCACTTTTTTTATTTTTGTTGCAATTATTCTGCCTACTGTACATAAGAAATACAAGAAGTTTATATCGGTAGTCCCATATTCATAGTTGTGATGACACAGTCGGTTTACAGTGTCTACCATTGTAACAAATGTTTACATCTACCAATGTCTTCATTCAGTATATATATATATATATATATATATATATATATATATTAGTGCTGGGCAACGATTACAATTTTTAATCGCGATTAATCGCATTGGTATGCACAAAATTCAATAATGAATTCAAAAGTAGTGTACTGTGCACTTTTTTCCATTTAAAAGTACTGCTATATGAACAAAAATGCAATGACATTTGGTTTGCAAACACTTTAAACAAATAAGGTGCTTTTTTTTTAAAGCAGTATTCCTTTTACATAGTAGCAGTTAAAATATTTCTTGTAAATCTCAACTTATAACATTAAAGTAATCAAATTAAATGTAAAACCATAGCTATTTGCCACTACCAGGGCATTAACGTTTTTATAGAAAATATTTTATAGTTTGTTATAGAAAAAGTCCAGAGCCTCGATCATAACATTATAACAGGCTCCTTCCGAGTAGAGACCTGCACATGTTTTGTCTGTGTGTGTATTCAGAGCCAGTGAGCAACGGACTTTCATAATAATAAAAAGAACTGCGTTAACGCGCAATAAATTAATTGTCGGCGTTAATCAATTAATGCGTTAATGCGATACATTTTATATATATACACACACACACACACACAAGAAAAAAAAATAACGACTTTATTCAACAATTTGTCTCCTCCGCATTACCCTAGCGCCATTTTGGAGAGTATCCGCTGGACGTAAACAGCGTATGCTGTTCTGTGAGTACTTTTTATGTCACACACAAAAAGTAATCTTGTAGCTTCGCAAAATTACGGATTAACCCCTGATGTCACATGGATTATTTTACCGATCTCCTTGCTTTTACATGATGCTTACATAATCGCAATAATGAAAAGTTCTGAATAATTCTGAAGAATACTTCTATGGGATTTTTCATCTGTTTCATCACTTAAAGAAATCAGAATGTTCAAATCCCTAACCCTAGGTACGAGCAATGGTGATGCTTGCAATGACAAACACTACTAGTGAAGGATTCCTAAAGCAGAGATACACTTCTGGTTCACTACTTTGCCTCTGGGTTTGTGTATACACAGTCTAGCTCTGAATTCGGTCACTGTTGACAAAAGGCATGAACGCTCATGGAATGGCAGCAGAACTACAAAAGATGGTTGTGTGAACAGACAGAAAAAGAATGCAGAATAGATGTGGCAAGAGGATTGACGACTGGTATCTCTGCATGACGCACATCCTATCATACGGTTTTAAGAGGAAGACGAAGCAGAGAAAAAAAAGTGTAGATTACAGGTTGATTTAGTTTGTACTGAATTCGGTCACTGTTGACAAAAGGCATGAACGCTCATGGAATGGCAGCAGAACTACAAAAGATGGTTGTGTGAACAGACAGAAAAAGAATGCAGAATAGATGTGGCAAGAGGATTGACGACTGGTATCTCTGCATGACGCACATCCTATCATACGGTTTTAAGAGGAAGATGAAGCAGAGAAAAAAAAGTGTAGATTACAGGTTGATTTAGTTTGTAAATTTAAGGCCTGGTTTCACAGACAGGGCTTAGACTAAACCAGGATTAGGTCTTAGTTCAATTAGGACATTTAAGTAATTTTTATAAACATGCCTTAGAAAAAAACATTACTAGTGTCCATCTTGAGACAAAATAAAGGCATTGATATATTTTAAGATCAGTCAGTGCAAGTTTCTTTCAGTTGTAACAGCTCAGAATTAAGTTTTACTCTGGGACTAGGCTTAAGCCTGGTCTGTGAAACCCGGGATATATGTTTGGAGAATAAATTTGGACTAATCGGACAACATTAGTTTTCCTAAACAACTTTTGAGCGACAATTATTAACATAAGACGTCTGTCATTGCATGTACTGATTTGAAATGGGATTTTTTTTTTTTTTTATCATTGTATTTATCACTTCGGTGGGTAACACTTTATTTTAAGGACCTGTTCTCAGTATTAACTAGTTCCTTAGAATGCATATTACTAGCATACTGGCTGTTTTAGTACTTAAAGCACATACTAATGCCTTATTCTGCATGACCACATTTTAGATCCCTTAATCCTACCTCATATCTAAACTTAACTGCCTTAGTAACTTTTAATAAGCAGCAAATTAAAAGTTTGAGGCAAAAGTTAATAGTTAATAGTGAGAATTGGTCCCCAAACTGAACTGTGATCTTAAGGTGGGAATGTCTGTTATCTGGATGTGGCTGTTAAATGCTTGCCAGCCAAGTACAGCACACCACTCTGCATGAAAGTCTCAGTCAGCTAACAGTAAGGAAAAACGCTGTAAAACTAACATCCAACTCTGCAAACACTACCAAAAAAATAAATAAATGATGCAAGCACAATACACAAAACATCATCATCACTCCTCACCCAGGGCACATTTCTGTCTGCACTGTTGTTGGTCACTAAGGACAGTGTATAAAGAGAGTGTGTCCCCATACAAGCACACGTATGTTTGCATGGCCTGACTCATCAAGCTTCCACAGTATAATGCAAGGCTAAGTCTGTAGGCCTGTGCTTCATTTGAAAGCAAGAATGCCGTGAGTAGCTAATTCTGCACAGCCCAGATTCACTCTCTGATCACGGAAATTTGCAAGCTGTCCATCAACAGGCTGCAGTGGCAAGACCATTTGTCAACATTGTAGGCTGAGGGCTGTGCGAGTATGTGAGCGGATCTTGAAAGTGTCTCACCTCTGAAGTTGTTTTGAGCTTCAGACTGAGTTGTGGTGCACTCCGTGACAAATACCAGCTTTTCTGATTTGTTTGTGTACCTATTGAGGTACAAGGTATGGCTTTAGTCTTTTCCCACGTGTGACTAAAATCATCAAGTAACATACCATTCTGAAAAATGTAAAAAAATAAATAAAGTTTTTTTTGGCCACTAACATCCACAGACTACCAGAGGGTTAAATCCATGTGCCCACTGTGCTTTATTTTCCTAAAGTCACATGGTGGCGGCTATATTTTCATTTATGACTCTTTAAACCAGCATAACATTTGTAAGGCAGTCAACGCTTGCAAATAAAAAAAAAAAGACAATTTTTTTATATAGAAAATTCGATAGGAGTTGAAATATCAACGAAGGAATTTTATTTCACAATTTACAGGGTATCTGCAGAATTTAAACAATTCAGTTTAAGACTTTTTGTGACCCTTTTTAAGACACAAAATACAAATGAATACCATATGAACAGGGTATGGCAATGTCCATGGTAAAATATTAAACTGTAAAATGACAGATTTACAGTTCAGATACAGGTTTTCACAAAAGTAAAAAATCTTATAAAATGATAAACACCACATTTCAGCCTTTAAACCATTAAGAAAAGGGATGAGTCAAACATATACATTACTATATTATTTTAAAACATGAGCAATATCACATGAGTAGCAGTGCGATATGGCTGTATATTGGCATGGCTGTGATTTGGCCGTATGTAATCACAGTGTGCCGATATACAGCCATATCTCACGGCTGAGAGTGTGATATTGTGTTTATGCAACAGTTCGACGGCACGAGTGTGTAAATACATAAACAATAACGGAGTGGCTTTAAAAACCCTTTTGTGCAGAACTACTTCCTTCCGCCACAGATTCAAAACTCAGTTTGACAGTTTAACAGCTGAGCTCAAGCCTCCATTACTAATTCGAAAACATCACTTTAGAACTAGTAACGAAGGAACGTTGAGTTGCTTCATTGAAAGCTTATTGTATCACTGTATTAAAAGCTCTCTGTATTATATGTAGAGTATTATGAGAGAGAGATGGACTGAGCGAGTGTGATTACCTGCATTTGATACAGCATTCATTGTTCAGCTCAATCTCATATTCACAATAAAACTTGAATGTCTGCTGAGGAAAGCGATATCTTTGTCGTACTGTCCTTTCATCTGTTAAGGGTGATTTTCAGTGACAGTGCTGCTCACTGCATTTGTTAACTGTGTCTTACAAGCTGTTGTTGAAAGTAAAAAGAACTTCCTTGTTTACAAGGCTAAGTCTGTAGGCCTGTGCTTCATTTGAAAGCAAGAATGCCGTGAGTAGCTAATTCTGCACAGCCCAGATTCACTCTCTGATCACGGAAATTTGCAAGCTGTCCATCAACAGGCTGCAGTGGCAAGACCATTTGTCAACATTGTAGGCTGAGGGCTGTGCGAGTATGTGAGCGGATCTTGAAAGTGTCTCACCTCTGAAGTTGTTTTGAGCTTCAGACTGAGTTGTGGTGCACTCCGTGACAAATACCAGCTTTTCTGATTTGTTTGTGTACCTATTGAGGTACAAGGTATGGCTTTAGTCTTTTCCCACGTGTGACTAAAATCATCAAGTAACATACCATTCTGAAAAATGTAAAAAAATAAATAAAGTTTTTTTTGGCCACTAACATCCACAGACTACCAGAGGGTTAAATCCATGTGCCCACTGTGCTTTATTTTCCTAAAGTCACATGGTGGCGGCTATATTTTCATTTATGACTCTTTAAACCAGCATAACATTTGTAAGGCAGTCAACGCTTGCAAATAAAAAAAAAAAGACAATTTTTTTATATAGAAAATTCGATAGGAGTTGAAATATCAACGAAGGAATTTTATTTCACAATTTACAGGGTATCTGCAGAATTTAAACAATTCAGTTTAAGACTTTTTGTGACCCTTTTTAAGACACAAAATACAAATGAATACCATATGAACAGGGTATGGCAATGTCCATGGTAAAATATTAAACTGTAAAATGACAGATTTACAGTTCAGATACAGGTTTTCACAAAAGTAAAAAATCTTATAAAATGATAAACACCACATTTCAGCCTTTAAACCATTAAGAAAAGGGATGAGTCAAACATATACATTACTATATTATTTTAAAACATGAGCAATATCACATGAGTAGCAGTGCGATATGGCTGTATATTGGCATGGCTGTGATTTGGCCGTATGTAATCACAGTGTGCCGATATACAGCCATATCTCACGGCTGAGAGTGTGATATTGTGTTTATGCAACAGTTCGACGGCACGAGTGTGTAAATACATAAACAATAACGGAGTGGCTTTAAAAACCCTTTTGTGCAGAACTACTTCCTTCCGCCACAGATTCAAAACTCAGTTTGACAGTTTAACAGCTGAGCTCAAGCCTCCATTACTAATTCGAAAACATCACTTTAGAACTAGTAACGAAGGAACGTTGAGTTGCTTCATTGAAAGCTTATTGTATCACTGTATTAAAAGCTCTCTGTATTATATGTAGAGTATTATGAGAGAGAGATGGACTGAGCGAGTGTGATTACCTGCATTTGATACAGCATTCATTGTTCAGCTCAATCTCATATTCACAATAAAACTTGAATGTCTGCTGAGGAAAGCGATATCTTTGTCGTACTGTCCTTTCATCTGTTAAGGGTGATTTTCAGTGACAGTGCTGCTCACTGCATTTGTTAACTGTGTCTTACAAGCTGTTGTTGAAAGTAAAAAGAACTTCCTTGTTTACAACCCTGTTTCAATATAAAAGTCTTTACTGCAGACTCACTCAGAAAAACAGTCTAATGGGGGAATAATGTTACTAAAATCACCATCACGAACACGCGCAACGTTACCCAATACTAAATACTATTATAAAATACTACTATTATTTATATAAAATATTATTTGAATAATTATATTCAATAAAGAACAACAACAGCCATCATAAAAGTTGCTAGGCAATTCAGTCAAAAGTAAAAAGGCAAAACTATTTATAGCGAATTATAGCTCATGTATAACCACAATAAAGACAGAGCCAGCGGCAAATTCCAGACGAGCTGGCCGAGGTGAGGCTGCTCTCAGCGGGTTCATGAGCGCTGAACAGCCGCTGACGCCCTGGAGCTCACATCTCCAAAAAAACGAAGCAAATTTTCAAATAGATGTTATTTTTATTATCTAACTGCATATTTGAAGTCTAAACAAGTACGTTCTCGCCTAAAACACTCTTAAAACTAAAACATACACACAAAAAATAAAAAAAAAGTGTCGTCCGCCATGACACTCGCTGTGAGAAATACTGCAAGCGGGGTTATATAAACGTTGAAACGGTTCGCGTTCCGATATCAACAGAATATCGCACTCCTCTCAGCCAATCAGATTCGAGGACCAGAAAGAACTGTTGTATAAAAATGTAAAAGGTAGTGTTTATTTTGTCAGCTATTTTTAATTTAGTCTTAGTCCTGTGTCAAATGTAACTTATAGTTTTCATCATATTTAGTCAACTTGTCCTTAGTTTTAGTCGACTAAATGTCTGAGAATTTTAGTCTAGTTTTAGACTAACGTACATATTTTCGTCATACTGTATAATGGTTAAAATTATGAAAAAAAAAATATTATTTTTCTAAATTTTAATTGCAATGATTGTTGTCATTTGGGAAATGTATTTTTACATTTCATCAGAAGTTGTTCTCTCACCAATAAGCACAAATCAATAGAATACTGACTCGTATGCATGGTTTATTTTACCTCATTTAACATTAGTGTACAGATTTATAACAGGATATCAATTAGAGGCTAAATAAACACCAAAGATTTCAGATATACACTCGCCCTGTCTACGTTATGAAAACTGGTGTAACAAAAACCTACTCTCAAATATCATAACAGAGAAATTTCTAATAGTAATTCCAATAATTCCAAATTGCATTAATGTTTCTCTTTTAAAACAACGGCAAAAAGACTTATTGCTGCACAGAGGTTGCGTAAGTAACGTTACAATCGGCAACCACTATCGCAAACAATACAGTCGAGATCCATGTCAGAACACAGACTGGCTGAATGACGCTTTCATTTAAGCAGAATACCTCAAATAGAGATCCCTGAACTCCAAGCTTACTTGTACAGTACTGTATGTTGGTGTTTTCAGATCATGGTGCCTCCGCAGAGAGAGTGCGTGTGAATGGTTGCCAGATTGCATTAAGTAAAAAGCTGGGCAGAGTACGTATCCGTTTAACAGAAAAGCTCAGATTGGGGGATTTGAGGTCTTGATATCTGGCAACTGCAAACATGAACGCTCGCGTAACAGAGGCTTGTACAGCAGTCTGAAATATTTTGGCTCCACTTCTTTCAACAAAAATAAAAGGTTTTGTTAAAGTTTTTGTTCTTTTAACTACATTTTAGTCTCGTCTTTTTTCGTCAATGATATTGCATGTTCATTTAGTCTCAGTTATCATTTAATGACCTTATTATTGTCTCGTCATCGTCTCATTTTCGTCAGGGGAAAACACCTCGTTGACAAACATTCTTCGACATAGTTTTCGTTAACGAAATTAACACTAGTAGAAGGCACATTAGATTCTTTCACATTTACAACTCTGTGCTCTTTCAGTGTAAAAATATGGGTCGATTTTCACATTGTTCTGAACAAAAACAGTAGAAGGGCTTACAGAAAGTGCAAATCACTTATCTGTATGATGCAAATTATTTTTCAGCCACTTGGTGAGTCTATTGAAACAGCAGAAATACAGTGGTTTTCCCCGGTAACGGCTGTACACAAAGCAGCGTTGCACTCATAAATGCTGCTTTATCATGCATTATTGGAAAGATTAAATGAAAATGCCATTAAAGTTTTTTCTGAAGACAGTCGGTTCCCTTCAGATGTACATTCATACAAAAACACTGTGAAACGTACAGCTTGAATTTATTCAATTAAATCACAGCAATTCTTGTCTTTCCGTCCCCAAATTTAAGACCTTTTGAAATTACAGTTAAGACTTTTCTTATACAAAGTAAGGTATTTAAGACTTTTATGGCCTTAAATTTAATACAACTAAATTGAAGTGTTTTTAAGGACCTGCGGGAACCCTGTATTAAAGATAGCCCATCGGGCAGGGCGGTGATACATTTTGGTAGCCCGAGTGGAAAACACAATAGCCAGGGACGTCGGGGCTATCAATTTTGCAAGCCCTGTATATCATGCTAAAGATTTTTTCTAGCGGCCTGGTCAGGTTAGCGGTTCAGACTTCCCATTCCAAATGGTGGTCCAATCTCTGTTGGACCACATGAGACAGACTTTAAACCTTTAAACTGACGAGGCCTAAAAGTGAACAGACACCTATTTAGCTCTTCAGGGAACAGTTATTTAGTGGTAAGTGACATTTATAACCAAAATGCTTGCAGCAAAAAACCCTTAAGTGTACAGAGAGTCTGTTTGTTTAATTTTGTGAATAACAGATGGCAATAGCTTCTGCGCTCTTACCTCCCAGTCTAGGTAATCACCAACATCCTCAAAGTTGGTGAGCAGAGACACTGAGCAGAAGAGGCGCGGCAGCTCGTCCCTCGTCATGGGGGGAAAGCGACTGTCTTTAAGGGCACTGTGAAGAGGACATGAAGGCAAGATTTACAATTAAAAAAGTCTACTAGGGTAGACAGCCAATCTCAGTGAACAAGTACTTATGAGTATGAATGCCTACACACATTCATCTAGGGATCAGTCAGAATGACTAGTTGCCTAACAACCTAGTGAAGCTGACTAGTGAGTTTATCTAGATTCATAGGCACAAAAACGGGCAGACACAGGAGAGGAGGTGATAATGTCTCAGAAAGAGAAGACTCCATAAGGAAAATCCATCACCAAAGAAAGATCAACAGTGAGAGGAGGAATAAGAATGTGGGTTTCCTTTGGCAACTTTTCTGTCAGTAACAATACTAGCGTTTCTGTAGTATGGGTAGCTGATTCAATCCAGTTCCCAAGAGCTGTGATACTAACAGTAGACTGCGTTCAAATGCTAACACCAATGCATTTCTTGGTAAAAATGGCCATCTTGCAAGGTATTAATGAATACACAGCCAGTTTTGTCTTAAAGAAATGGCTGCCAACCAAACAAAATATTAGAAATCAATGGAATCTAGTGTCAAGCGCCAAAAGGTTTATTCAAAAATGGTAACACAATAACATTATAATGGTTTATCATGGAACATCTGGACCACGGTTGACAGTTTTGTTTTGTTTAGTTTTTTTGCTCAAATCTCGTAATTGATATTGTCGATTGTGAAATTTCACTGGAATATAAATTTTTATTTTGTAACATTTACAGCAAAATAACATTCATATAATGACATAATTCATATAATGATGCTCTATCATGTTTGTGCGATGATCATCAATCTTAGAATGGCATGAGGCATAGGTGTTTTCTGCCAGTGGGTATCAACCCTAAATAACAAATGAACGAAGGTCAAAATCATTATAGCATTTTTTGAGATTAGTGGCTGATTTTGAGAACAAAATGAACTAAACTTAACTAGCCACTCTAAAAAGGCATTTACGTGTTTTACCACCCGCAGGGACCCGATGTGAGATTTACCAATTAGAGAGGTTCCCGAATGTCAATCAGTTTTTTAATTGGTTAAAGTTTAAAGAAAGAATATCTCATGTTTTTCTATGGATTCCTCAGGGAACCATGGGATCAGGATCGATGGCATGATGGTGACTAAATGAAGACACATTTTTAGGTTCAAGGTTTTCAAATACATCGCTAAGAGCTGTGCCAAAATGCACCTACTTTCAAATCAATTGCTCTGTACTCCATGTAGATGTCCTAATGAACATATACCATGATAACATTTCCCAGAAGTCCACTGTTGCTTGAAGTAGTGTTTTTCTTTACTACATCATTTACCATGAGAAGCTGATTAAAGCTTGACTGTTCCTCCATCAGTTTGTGCACAGAACATGATAAGCTCTTGGTAAGGTTTGTTAGCTCTTGGCACATTTAGGCATATTCAGGAAGTATGCATGCAGGATATAAAAACAAAACATTCCTTCATGAATGACTGACCAAAAATATCCAACAGGGCTTGGAAAAATATGGGGGAAAAATTCTAAAAATTTGAGAATTGCATTGAGAACACTGACTTGCACTTGACTGGAATAACCATGCATTTTTGTGATTGGATCTAGTCACTCTAAATCAGGGATGGGCAACTGGTGGCCAGTACCATATTATAGCCTACTCTGGCCAATTTTGATACATCTGAGAAGCAAGATTAGGTAGGATGTTAATTCTAACCCAAACCAGGAGAAGTCGCTAGTTCCTGCCCCTCACCGTGATCACCGTAGTAATTACAGCATAGTAGGATGTGTGTGCTAATGTGAACAATCCCGAAAATGAGCAAAAAGAAAAGACAAATTGACTACGAAAATCGTTTTTTCCAGTCGAGATGGAAAACAAAGTATATTTTTACCGAGTTCAAGGGGGCCCCCATGTGCTTAGTTTGTTTGGAAACAAAATCTGTGATAAGTCGCCATTACACCACTGTATGAAAAATACATCGGTGATGCCAGAGTTGCTCTCATCTCAGATTTAAAAGGTAAATTATATAATCAGCAAAACCTTTTTGCCAAATGCATGATGGTGCAAGAATCATTATTAAATGATTCACTAAAGGCATCTTATGTGGTTTCACTTGTGCTTACGAAAGCGAAAAGAACGCTATATCAGAGGGCGAAATTGTAAAGCAGTGCACGATTGAGATGGCTAAAGCATTCGGATATGAGAAAACGGCCAAGAACTTTGAATCCGCATCCTTGTCACACCGAACAGTAGCATGTCGAATTTCTGACATCCAATGTCAAATCCAAGAAAAGCCGAAACACACAATCAACAATTGCAGATACTTTTCTCTTACGCTGGATGAAAGCACAGATGCGACAGATGTCAGTCAGCTCCTGATCTTTGCACGAGTGATCACAGAGAACTTTGATATTCAAGAGAAGCTGTTAAACTTGGCTTCATTACATAGCACCACAAAGGAAGAGGATATTTTCAAAGCTGTTAAGAATCCGGTACGCGAGTATGGCGGCTTTGCTAAACTGCCTGCTGTTGTTACTGACGGAGCACCAGTAACGCAAGGAACAATATCTGGACTCGCTGGGCTTCTTAAGAAGAGTGACGATAACTGTCCAGTACTGCACTGCATAATATATCAGGTTAATAGGCTTATTTTTATTTCAATGTAACTTACATAAAATAAACTTATGTTACGTGATCAGTAACAAATATTATTTGCTACAGGAGGCCCTGTGTGCAAAGACTCTGGACTTCGGCCATGTCATGAATGTAATGATGAAAGTCACTAATCTTATTCGAGGTGGAAACAGGGTGCTCAATCACAGGAAGTTTGCTGTCTTTTTGGATGAAGTCAGTGCTGCTTATGGGGATTTACTGATGCATACTGACATCAGATGGATGAGCCGTTAGAAGAGTCTGGATAGATTATTTGGACTGCACAACGACATCCTTTTGTTTCTGGAGGACAATGTTAAGTCGGACACAAGCACTTACTGCTGCAAACAACGGGATCCAGAATATCTTTGTGACATGGCCTTCCTCACAGATATGACCATGCATCTGAATAATCTGAACACACAGTTACAAGAATGGGCCCAAATGGTTTCAGACATCTATGTGCAAATGAACGCTTTCCAACACAAATTTAACCTTTTTCACAACGGATGTTCATCCGTTCCCGTAAATTTGACACACTTCCCTGTCTGCAAGGAGATGCACGAAGATGCTCCGGAGTGCAAGTTTTTTTTTGCCAAGTATAGAAAATAAATCGGATGTCTGAAAGAGCGATTCAAAATTCGCTCCCAGGACTTTCACGACATGCAGGACTTTCCTGAACGCAGCTGTCAGTGAGCAGCCTGGAACTCTGCGGGCTTCAGTCTGACCCCTTCTTTCAGGCAAGGCGTAATGAGAGGGGGCTTAAATTTTGGAAACTACTACCTGAGTCCTGTTTTCCCCTTAGAGATTTTGCACGGTTAATGCACAGCATGTTTGGCAGCACTTACATCTGTGAAAGTAGTTTATCAACAATGGAGCACATTAAATCGAAAGAGAGAAATAGGCTGACAGATGACACTCTCTTTCAGCTACTGCAAGTTGGCTGTACAAACTTTGAGCTTGACATTGAATCAATTGTGCACCAACAGGAGAGGCCACAAGTTTCTCATTGGGATGTCTTTTTGAAAGTGTGAAAGTTGTCTGAACTGAAATATAAATGCATGTGTTTGTGGGGGTTGAATGCTATGGATATTTAGCACTGAATTGTTATATTCTTATATTCAGTAAGGGATATCTTTAATAGTAATATGTGGAATTTAGTATTTTTTTTGGTATGTATATTTAATATGTTTTTGAATAAGCACTTTCAGGTTATTAGGGCTGCCCTCAACTAAAGATTTTTCTGGTCGACTAGTAGTCGTTCATTTTAAGCATTAGTCGACTAATCGCAATTAAAGCCTTCAATTGCCTAGCCTAATAAGCGCACAAATAAAGCTTGCCACAGCACACCGGCAGAAGTAATGATGATGAATGTGTCAGGGAAAAACAGTAAGGTTAAACTGCATTAACATTTTAATAACCTATTGATAAACTAGTGTTTTCTGCGATTTCGGCTAAAGAGATAAATTCGGTGACACCGACTAGTCAGTAGTGGATGCGCCCGCATGCAGGTTTCATATGGATTACATAATTTGAGAATTTTTGAATTGTTTCATTTAAAAGTAGACATTTCACTCTCAATAGATATATTTTTCATGTCTGTAAGGCAAGTATACATGGAGTTTCGCGCTCAAGTTCACAGAAGCCGATACGGCAGAAAGTGCATCTTGTCTGCTTTCATTATTTTACAAAAGCGCAATGTTTTGTTATCGTGAGTGCACACAAATAAACGTAGAGGCTTTACAGATTTGAAAGAAGTATTACTCTTATCCGTATGACCAAAATGACGGAGTATTTTAAGAGCAAGTGACCGCACCGGCGCTTCCATCTGTCATGCTGTGAGCATGCGACGGTTCAGTTTTCACACTCCGCACAGACACTTGAATAGCACACATTTTTCTAGATTAACATTAGATTGAGCAGCCATGTAAAGTTGCTACTAAAATATTTTAGATAAGCCATATTTGAGGTCAATGATTGATAGGCGAGTGTTTGGATGTACTGTCTTACCACAAAAACAAGCCATTAATGATCGGTTTGTCACGGACTGCGTTACCTCACCACTTCCTGTTGTTTTTTTTGTTTCTGTGACTAAGCGACTAATAAAATTTTGGTCGACCAAGCCTCTTCTCGTGGACTATTAGGGGGCAGCGCTACAGGTTATGTTGAGAAAGTTCTGTAGGCTACTAATCAGAAATAGGACCACTGGCAAATTTACAGGCAATGCAATTTAAATGTTTACATTTGCTTGTCGATGAAGTTGTCCATTTGAATTAGCATAATTGCTATTTTAAAGTTAAAATCTTAAAAAACACACATATTGAATTACATTACATGTAGATTGATTTCCCTCAATCAAGAAAATATTAAGGAAGACGTTGTAAAATGTTTGAGTGTG